CGTCAGGACGGCAGAGGGCGACCAAGGGACACAACAGAACTGAAAAACAGAGCGATTGTCAGAACGGCTGTCCTCAGCACCGGATTCGACGTTATCTACCATCCAACGTGTGATCGGCACACAAGTGTCTAAAATGATCATCAACAGACGACTCAAAGAGCACAATATAAGAGCTCGCCGACCTTTACGATGCCTAGCCCTCACCCCCGTACAACGAAAATTTCGACTATAGTGGTGTAGGGAACGATCAACTTGGAACTGCGCTGATTGTGAACGTAGAGCCTTTAGTGACGAATCCTGATTCTTACTGTGTCCTGACGATTGTCGTGCCTGGAGAAGTCCTGGGCAGCATGTGGATCCTGGCCTAACTTTCAAACACCACACAGGTCCACAACAGACGGTTATGGTCTAGGGTGTATTTCATTTGATAGCAAGACCCCATTGGTAGTCATTGAAGTATCTCAATTTCATTCTTTTGTTTATAGATGTATAATATTTTGGGATCGGAAAATAACACAATGGTAATATATATTATATATAACGTATTATTACTATCAAAGTAACCTATGCTATACTAAGAAGATAGTTATAATACTATAATCATATAATAAGCAACATTTATTAAAAACAAATTTGATTAGGAAAGCAGTGACTCGCTCAGTACACGGGCGAAGCCGACACTTTGGGCTCGACATAAAACTAATTCAAAAATATAGAAAGCAATGAAATATACCTATTAAAAATATATAGGTGAAGGAAACCAAGGTATATAACACACATAGCACACTATGTAGGCTGAAAGAAAGGAAATACATTCAGCAATATCTCCTTTTTTATAACGAAGGACGGACTTTTTAGAATTAGTGAACCGAGGATGAAAAAGAAACGTATACCAATTCGATATAAAAATACTTATTGCGAAATATACACAATCCATATGAATGGAAATGAATGACTGGACCTGTTAAACAAGAAATGTGAGCAAATTATTTATATATTTATATAAAAAGGGCGTTAATATACCTAAAATATACCTCTAGTATGTAAAACATATTTTAATTTCCATAGAATTCAAAAATAATGATACCAAAAGAAACAATTAATGGAAAAAGTTCATTTTCTTCACTTTTATTGTTTAAAAGATCCAGTCTTCATACATATCAGTAAAGAAAAGGATTATGGAGGCATATTCCTTGAAGACGGTTGGTTTGATCGAGAGATTAGAAGATAAAGAATAATTGATCCAAGTCTTTCATCCATAATGGAAATACCTATTCAAATCATTCGCTGTTTGAGAAGTTTCTTTTAGAAAGGATATATTGCCACTTCAACCAATTTCATCTTATTCATTGTTGACCCGACGTTTCAGTGATTCTCTTCCCTCTTTATCAAGGAAATTATATATTCTTATAAAAGGTATCGCAACTTTTGTGTTTTTTCAAAAATTATTTATTTATTCATGAATACCTATTTTGTCTCCTTCAAAGTAATCCCCATGAGATATTATACACTTGTGCCAACGGTTTTTCCAATCTTCGAAGCACTTCAAAAAATCATTTTTAAAAAATCTTTTTCAGCTCCTCCTTCGATACCGTCTTTATCTCGTCAAGCGTAGCGTAACGTCGTTCTTTCATGGGCCTCTTCAGTTTAGGGAACAAGAAAAAGTCACAGGGGGCCAGATCTGGGGAATACGGTGGCTGCGATATCATTAGTGTGTTGTTTTTGGCCAAAAAGTCGCGCACAAGCAACGATGTGTGAGCAGAGGGGTTATCGTGGTGCAAAAGCCAATTTTTGTTCTTCCACAAATCCGGGCGTTTCTGGCGGATTTCTTCGCGCAAATTGCGCATAACTTGCAGGTAATATTCCTTATTGACCTTTCTACCCTTTGGTAAGAACTCATGATGCACTACGCTCCTGCAATCGAAGAAAACTGTCAGCAAAACTTTCACATTCGACCGAACTTAGCGCGCTTGTTTCGGTCTTGGTTCGTGCGGCAGCTTCCATTGAGATGATTGAGCTTTGGTTTCCACGTCATAACCATAAACCCACGCTTCGTCACCAGTTATGACCCTCCGGAGCAAATTTGAGTCGTCGCGGACAGAGTCCAACATCTCATTAGCAATGTTCATGCGATGCTGTTTTTGGTCGCAATTGAGCAATTTTGGTACGAATTTCGCGGCGACCCGTCTCATGCCCAAATTATTGATAAAAATCGAATGGCACGAGCCAATCGATATGTTTAGGTCCTCAGCAACTTCTCTAACGGTGATTCGACGATTGGCCAATATCATTTTCTCCACTTCATTAATTTTTTCGTCTGTTGTTGAAGTGCTCGGGCGTCCGGCACGCTCTTCGTCGTTCACATCTTTTCGGCCTTCTGAGAACATTTTGTACCACCGATAAACGTTGCTTCGGTCCAAGGTAGCTTCTCCGTATGCCACAGTCAACATTCGGAATGCATCCGCGCACTTAATTTCGTTTTTTCACACAAAATTTGATACAGGTTCTTTGATCCATTTTTTTAAATAGTTAAAAATCGAAGACGATCCAAAACATCTGCAAGCAAAGCAGCTGTCAACAATCAAGTGAACATTCAAAATGGCCGAGCTTGTCGGCATAAGTGAGAGACATGAGTACCAACATAAAGCCACAAAAAGATCGAAATTCGAATATACTTAGTCTAGCCATAAATATTGTTACAAAACCGAATAAGTGATAAAAAATTAATTTGACCGCGTTAAGTATTCAAAATACAGTTGTTGTTATTTGAATATCTCGCGTACACATGTTTAGAAAAAAAATCGGAATATATTTGTGTTTTGATAATGGGTTTGGGTATTAAATAAAACCCTATAGTTGTAATAGCCTTACACAAGGTAGGCCAAAATCTTTCACCCTTTTTAAACTTTTACAAAATTTGAATATTACGCGTCAATTTGTTTATCGAATCATTGAAAGGTTCAACAAGGCTTGCACTATTGATGACCTTGAAATATCTGGTCGACCTCGCATGCAACGAACGCAAGCAGCTATAAAAGCCATTCGCGAAAGAATTCGTCGAAATCCACACTGCAAACAAAAGATATTAGCAAAGCAGATAAATTTAGCTCCAAGATAGTTTCAAGGATAATCAACGAAGACCTTGGACTGAGAGCTTTCAAACGACGCACAGGTCATTTGATAACCCCTGCTCTTAGAGATATTAGAAGGGTTAGATCAAAAATGTTGTTCGCGTAGCATGATGGTCGGTGGCATGAGAGAATCCTTTTCACAGACGAGAAAATTTTCACTGTCGAGGAAAAGATTAATCGTCAGAATGATAGGATATATGCTCGTAGCTCTCTAGAAGCTTCTTTGAAAGTCAGAAGACTTGAAAAAGTCACCATCCTTCTTCTGTCATGGTTTGGTGGGGAGTTAGCTACCAAGGTGTAACAGATCTCCACTTCTGTGCCAAAGGGGTAAAAAATACAGCTAAAAACTATAAATAATACATTTTGTAACAAATAGTAAAGCCTCTGAATACAAAAATGTTTAATGGAGAACATTGGATATTTCAACAAGATTCAGCTCCTGCTCACAAAGCTAAGTCAACTCAACAATGGTTGGAGACGAATGTTCCGGAGTTCATAAAGGCCAATGAATGGCCCTCTGGAAGCCCTGATTTAAACCCCTTGATTACAGTTTGTGGGCATATTTAGAGGAGAAGGTGTGCTATAAAAGATATCATAATTTGTATAATTTGAAATCAGCATTGGTGAGAGCAATGAAAGAAATACCCTTAGAAAAGGTGCGTGCCACCATAGATCAGTGGCCCGAACGTTTGAGATCCTGTGTCAAAAATAAGGGAGAACATTTTGAATGCTTATATATATTTAAAATCTATGTCCTATTGGCTAATAAAATATGTATTTATATTCCATTAGTTTTTGTTCTTAATCATTTAATTTATAAAATTGTTTGTAACAGAATTTTTATGGCTAGACTGTGTACGTAACCCGCGAAAATTCAAAAGTAGCGATACCTTTTGAACACACCTCGTATCTTAACTTCTATAATGAAATATCTAATTTCCTTAATATATAATAGTGGAAGCCACTTGCGCCGAAACGTTGAATGAATGAATTGAATGTTAAAATTGATTGATATGTGGCAACATATGATTTTTACGATAATAAATACATATTAAAAACAAAGAAGATGAATATATAAATTATCTAATGGACTTTATATAATTCCCAAAACAAAGTTTTAATATACCAAATTTCTTTGACTTCTTTGACTACCGTCCATTGAATAAAACTTATTACACAAGAAGTTGAAATAACTTCCATTAAAAAGAAGAAAAGCCAATAGATTTGACATCAAAGGTTATGTATTCACTGATATTGCGGTATAGCTGGTGAACGATAATTGCAACAAATAGAAGGAAATTACTTCAAGTTATGAGGAAAAGTGGAAGCAATTTAGAAAACAAATTAAACAAACTTTATATTGACAATGTCGATATTAAAAAAAATTCTTGGAAAGGAAAAATTAGAAACACATTTTTTTTAGAAGATGTTATGACATGTATTTTTTTAAAAGCGAATTCATGTATAACTAGGGAAAAATTTAGTAGAAAAAAAAACTTTTATAAAAAACGACAGGAATTTCTAAACTTTTTGAGGCTAGTCATAATATTTAAAATATTCTTGTTGACCTTTTAGAATGTTTATTATTAGTATTGACGTTTCAATTTTGTAACCACCTAATAAATATTCTGCTATAACGATATATTTTGAGTGAATATTATAATTCACTTTTATATACTTGTAAAATGATATTTAATAAAATTTTATTCGAGAAAATATACGTTCACATTTATGAAGAAGTAAAAATATAAATAAATATATTTAACAAAAAAACAAAAACACTTTTCGATTTTAAAAAAAGGAGCGCACATATTTTATCGAATAAATATTAAAATATACAAGTATCAGAGTCATCAATAATTCTGTCACCGTTTCAAAAGCAAGTGGTAGAATGCTCGCCTGCCACGCGGGCGCCCCGGGTTCGATTCCCGGCCGATGCATTTTTTTTTTTTACAATTTTTAAAACTCATTTATATTATCAAAATATATGTGCTTTTCCTGTCTATGTACAGATTTATGGTCTATATACACAAGTATACAAGTATGCATACAAGTTATTTGCAAATTGCGTTGCAAATTTGCCCATTCGCTCGCAAGCAGCGCCTCTAGCGGTGAAGATGTAAGGTAATATCAGCTGACCTAATGGACATGTAAAACGTGTTTTAACAGAACATAGAGAAAAATCTGGAAGAGATATTTTTCGGATTTTTAGTCAAGAAAAATAAATTGACAGGTTCTGGGGAAAAAATAGTTGTTTTTTATTCAGAAAATGATGATGACAATATTGCTGTATCATATTTGATTATCAGATACAAAATTATATCCGGAAAAATTCCAAAAAGCAGAGACCACGGGTGAAGCCAGTTCATTTTTAGTAAGCAGGAACAAAATTCTAACAGAAAAACATTCATTCGAGCAGAAGACACAAAGCCAGATAATCTTTTTATAAAAATATCGCTTCTCAGACACAAAGTTTGGAGCGGGACGTTTCACAAGAATGACATTCACGGCGCCAATTTATAATTGTAAAGAATAGTATTTGAATAAAAGCCTTTAATCGGGTAAAACCCGGGCGTTGCCCGGGTCATTCGGATAGTTATATAATAATCACAAAATCATTTATTAGGAATCGTAAAATGTAAATATTTCGATATACAGTAGAACCTCCCTGTAAAGGACACCTAATTGCAAAGCCAAAGTGTTCTTTAGGGAGAGGTGTCCACTTACCGGAGAGTTGCTAAATTGTAAAAATGGTAATTTTTCAAATGAAAACTGTCCTTTGTGGAGAGGTCTCCGCTAGAGGGAGGTTCTATTGTATAAGAAATATTCTGATATAGAAAATAAATTCCTGAAGTAGAGAGGCTTATTATATCCATCGAAATACTGGATAGGAAAGTTTCTCACGATGTATATGCAAAAGGACACTTCTGCTTTTTATTATATAAATATAAACGATGCATTTATTTGATAATATCTTCGTCAAATTCATATTTAAAAAATGTGACTACATAACTTTTGAAAAATTCTGGACAGATAATTCAACGTGTATACCATGGTTTCGGGATATGACCCTCATCAGTACCGAGGCGTCTTCGATTTAATAATATCCTACGAAAGGAAATTGGTCGAATTTTCCAAAAAGGTGTTTAAGCTGAGGGAGTGGTAAGGCCAGAATTATATTATTAGAGAAGGGAATACATATTTAAACATTTCTTTTTATAAATATACAATAAATTTTATAGAAATATGTTTGTATGATCATTTTTATGAAAATATATTTCTTTATTTTAGTACCAAACAAAAGTACCAAAATACACTGGTGTCCAAAAAATAAGAAACCTTTGTTTTTTAATGATATGTTTTAAAATATACAACGCTAAAAGCTAAAAAGTAATTTAATTAGGTATTTTAAGTCGTAGAATTTATTTATCGCAACCATTCGAATCGGTAAAATTGAAAATATGCAAATATTTGCTTGTCTTTATAAGTGTGCTATTTGGCGTGTCGTTTACCCCATCTAAGAATTGTCCAATTATAATTTTATTTAATCCTTATTTAATTATGAGTTTACGAAAATTTTTAGCAGATGATTTAAAATGGAGAGCTGTTGGAAGAATGGAGGCAGGGCAATCACAAGTTGAAGTAGCAAAATGGCTAAATGTGAATAAATTTGTGGTCAGCAAAATATGGAAACAGTTCATTGAGACAGGAACCATTAAAAGAAAAAAAGGTTCTGGTAGAAAAATAAAAACAGCTACCTCTGAAGACCGTTATCTGGTCGTAACTTCCAAGCGCCATAGGGAGATGACAGCTATTCAACTCTCTAATGAACTCTCAAGTGCTACTGGAACGAGAATTTCAAGACAAACTGTTTACCGAAGGCTTCACGAAGGTGCTCTTTATGCAAGACGACCAATGGTCTGTATCCCTTTAACCTCTGCTCACAGGAGTGCCCGCTTGAATTTGTGCTTGGAACATCATGCCTGGACTCATGATCAGTGGGCCAATGTTCTCTTCAGTGACGAGTCAAGATTTACTTTAAACACAGATTATAGACGAGTTTTCATCTGGAGGGAGCCTGGAACCCGCTATCATCCCAGTAACATCAGGGAAATAGACAGTTTTAGAGGGGGCAGTCTCTTAGTCTGGGCTGGCATCAGTTCTAGCAGACGCATACCCCTCCACATTTTTTTCTGGGGGCACTTTAACTGCCCAAAGGTACAGGGACGAGATCCTTGAGCCCTATCTAAGACCTTATAGAGATCAAATTGGTCACAATTTAATTTTTATGGACGATAATGCTCGTCCGCATAGGGCTAGGTTAGTCAATGAATATCTCCAGAGTGAGAATATTCGAAGGATGGATTGGCCAGCCAGATCTCCGGACCTGAATCCAATAGAGCATGTGTGGGATGCTCTAGGGAGGCGTATTGGAGCTCGTCACCCCTCTCCCAGAACCCTCGTTGAGCTAAGAACTGCTTTATTGGAGGAGTGGGGTTTACTACCCCTGGACCTCCTCCAAAGCCTGGTAAAAAGTATGAGGGCTCTCTGTGAGACCTTGATAGCTGTTAGAGGTGATCATACTCCCTATTGATATCTTATTTCTTTAAGATATGGAACCTTAGCTTTGGGTATGTTGGTAATAATTTGCATATTTCATAATTCCAAATATTTTTTTAAATTTTCATATAGCTAGTCCTATTCTCCATAGTTTAAACTATTTGTATACTAAATTTTATATTTGTTAAAAATTAGCTTTTGAGAAATTTCAATATTGGTTAAGTTTCTTATTTTTGGACACCAGTGTATATATATTTTTTGAAAAGGAACCAAATTTCCGTAAAATGATTCAAAATAAAATTTACGTTGAAAAACTCGAACTATATACTTTTTGAGGTTATTCACGTTATAAACCTAGCATGATGCCATATATGTAAATAAATAAGATAGGTTTGGGTTTGTTACACAAGTTTCCATAATAGTTGACCAATTAGACTTTTACACAATATAGATTTAGGTCTGGACGGAGTCTCTATCATATTCTCAAACCCGTAATATGCTAATTAGTCCAATAAGAGGATAAAATTTGCATACTCCCTTTGTTCCGCATACATTTCCTTAATGTTCGACATAACCGGATGAGCCTTTAATAAGATAAAGAGTTAGGTCGGAAAGGAGCCACTCATGCGTTCAACTCAAGCGAATTTGTCCGATAAGAAGCTAATTTGCATATAGCCTTTGTTCAGTTTGCATAGTTTGAAATAGATAACTCGGCCTATATATGTTAAGGTAAAAAAATCTGCTGCAGCAATTTATAGAATATCATCTTAAGCACGTGCGCAATATTCTTTTATCATAGATGTTGGGGGATATTCTATTATGCAAATGGTTTACAAAAGATGCAGAAACATTTAATGTGTTTCAACTAAGGAGACCCAACAACTGTGGCTAGAGCCAAATTGACAAATCCGTTATAGAAAGAATCGATTAAATGACAGTTCCATTGTTTGTCGCTAAAACAATCCTAAAAATATTTTGCTTTCTAGATGCTAATTGCAAGTCCCCACAAATTATCTAAGTATAAAAGCATCAAAGTTATCATCAAGTTTGATTCATCGAGGAATCTATCTATTCAATAGACATCCATTCATTCAAGTCTTATCAGGTTATCTGTTCATTCGAGTCATCTATCTATCCAAGTGATCGAGTCATCTATAAGTCGAGTAATCCATTATCTTTGAATCAGCGAGTCAGCTAATCATCAAGTCATCTATTCAATCAATCAATCAAGTCATCTATTCAATCAATCATCAACTGCCTTTTCAAATCTCATCAAATTATTCATCTATTCAAGTCATCGAGACATTATCTATACAAGCCATTTAACTGCTTGAGTCATCAAGTCATCTAAATATTCACGTCATCCTATCTATGTCAAGTGTCAAGTCATCCATATTATTAAGTAATTATTTATCTACCCCCAATCAGATACATTGGCTACAATAAATGCATTAATCTTCAGTTTATTTTGAAGCATAAAAAACACTATAATTAGAATGGAAACATTGTAAATAAGTCGAATGGAAAATCCTCAAATACCAAATAGATATATTTCCAAAAAATCAATTATATTACAGAAACTTTGAATGGATACCTCTCGAATAGGGCCAAGTAAATTAATCGTTGGAATCAAGAGGCTATCTCACGATTAAGTTTAATGGAGAAAAATTACCAAAATCTGAATGACTGCATTATGAACATGTTCAAAGGCCCCCCCCGTATGTTGAACAAGTTCATTTTAAAATTTTACGAAACCTTCAATGGATATATAATGAATAAGTGCAATAGGGAACTATATGAAAAGTTAAGATAATACATTACGTAAGTAAGTAACAAAGAATCAATCCAATATTCAACTTAATAGAAAAGAAGCTATCTACTCCATATCTCTTGCAATAACTTTAGTTCTAAATATGTAGGGGAGACTAGGAGAAAAGCCCATAATAGAATAACCGAACATAATAGGAATATTAACAATAGAGAGAGCTATCCAAGATCTTTAATAGTTCAACACATAAAAGAAACAGGTCATACATTTAACCTATCTCAACCTATAGTGTATTATGACAATATTCATAGTAAATAACAAAGACTTTTAATATTGTCGCGTATTTACCCTACTGGTTCTTTGCGACAACGCCGCTTCTTCCTTCGTGGATCACCTACTTGGGCTCCGGTTGCTCCTCCCTGCGGCTTTTCCCCGCAGGCCACCCAAAGACTTCCTGAGTTCCACCTCTCCTGTGGAAACTCCCTTCCTCTGGCAGTATCTCTCGGCCTTACCACTGGTGGGGGGACACGAGAGACTTACCAGAAGAGTAGTAGCAGCAGCAGTAGTAGCCTGGCGAAGATGGCAGTGGCGATAGTAACGACAGGAGG